CTCCTGGAGGACGGGCCTGGCGGCGCCCGCTGCGCCTGCCGCGGCGGCTCGTGGCGCCTGGCGCCCGCTCGGCACGTGACTCGGCGTGGGGCACCTGTCGTCACGCGGGGCTGCGCGGGCTGCGCCAGACGCCTGCCTTCTCTGTCGCTCGCGTGGGCTTTTGGGCATGCACGAGCGACAGAGAGCCGCGCGGATGGACACTTGCACTCTGCTGCGGTGGTGCGTGTGTAAAAGGACTATTTATTGAGGCGAAATGACGCGGATGATGAGAAAAAAGATTTAGAGAGTGAAAAAAAAATATATTGATTTGCTGCAGGGAGCCCAGCCCGGGTCGCCCCAGGGCCATTGGCACCGCTCAGGGGCTGCCTCTAATATAATAAGGCGGGGGGTGGGGGGGGGGCTGAGCTGATGTACGGACGGCCCCCGCCGAGTTGGCATGCCGCTGAATCACGGCGCGACGCTCTCGCGGGGCCCGTTTCCAAATGCAGCCCCAGCAGCAGCTGAGGGGGAAGCGGCGGTTTAGTTTGAACCAGTTTGAACGCCAAGTCCTCCCCGCCGCCGCCAGCATCTCGACGCCCGTGCCCGCCCTCCTATCCGAAGTCCGTCCGAGAGAACTCGTCGTCGCGGACAATAGAGCGTACTAAAGCTTGAGAAAGGGCTGCCCTTTCTCAAGACTGAAGTCCTCTCCGTCGTCGGGGTAGGGGGTAGGAGGGAGGTGAATCGGACGGTGTTTCCGAAGTATTGACCCCCTCCCCCCCTTATATGTTACGCCCCCGACTCGCCGTCTGGCAGCACCGCACCGCACTACCGAGCCAGCAGCAGCGCCACGCGCCCGTACGTAGTACAAGGCCCAGTCGAGCCCCCCACACTCCCGCTCCGAGTGACCCACGCCCATTGATTAGGACAGGACGGTAGTGCCGCGGTGACGACACGACCCGAACGCCACGGGAGTGCTGTACGGCGACATCCGCGCCGGAAGAGGAGAGCCGGAGAGGAGAACCGCGCGCTCAGAGCGGCCACTTGACGACGCTCTCGAGATAAGGCGTGTTGACTGACATGAGATACGACTTCCCCGGGACGGCGGCGGCGACGGCTGACTACAAAGTACCACCGTTTAACGGTGAATCGGGTTGGAGCCGGCGGAAAGCGCGTCTCGTCCTCGCCGAAACTGATAAAATGTATAGACATCTCGATGGAGGCTTGGAGGCTTGGATGCTACTGTATACCAGTTACATCACCAAGCATCAGGCATGACAGGGAGGAGGCTAGTTCCACCTTCAGGTGCTAAATGAAACAGAAAGCACAAATCAGTTCTATTTCTTTTATTTCCTTCTTAATATCATTCATACACAGATAACAGACATGCTATTTTATACACCGGAAAAGGAACAATGTCGAAAAAAGTTGCCATCACTGAACATGCTAGAATTGTAAACTCTTAACACACAATTTAAAACAAGAATCATACAACAAAGCCAACATACTTTCTAAAAAAAACAAAGGACACAGCAGAAAGACGTATTCACACCTCCCACTCTAAAAATGAATGCAGCAAAAGAAATGCCTAAAATATTTGGAACCAAACCTGCAAGCAACAAGAGAATATAGCTCTTGTTGCTCAATTAGGTAGATAAAATGGTTGGAAAATGGTAATCCCAATGTCACGCAACAAAGTAGCTTCCTCACAACTGTTGCACAAAGTTAAAATAAAAACCTACTGAGCTCAAATCAAGTAAAACCTTGAAGAGGAAGTCTTGATTTACATTTACATCATAGCAGCCCATTAAAAGGGGAAGATAGATCATGATCACTTAAGGAAATATCCAGCAGAGGCAATGCCAATAATTACAATAGGGGATACATTTATACAGATTTATAGGGTTGTGCAGGTCAAGCGAGGGGCAGTATACGCAGCACTCAGCCGCTGTTCAACTGTGGCCTAATGGTGAAATGATGTATCAATGACAGATGAACCACTAAAATTACCAAGGGTGACTTAAGTATTATACAGTATATGTTTACATATATACTCATATTTTATCTTCCTGACTTAAAGATTGCTTTCAAAGAATGATAGACACTCATTGGAATGTACAAATTATCTTCTAGTATTCACTTTAAACAACACTGTACCCACCCCTGACTAACAGGTAACAATACTACAACTACCAACAGACTAACACCTCACTTTAATTTTACGCAGCAGTTAAGACCAAAAGGCTTATATATTCAGACAAAATTTTAAAATTCAATAAAAGTGATCTTAACTTTCAAAACATTTAAGAGTCTACAAGCTGCTCAGAAAATAATTTAAATTGTAGATGATACCAATGAAGCAGAAGGTACGTTGTACTATTAATCCAGGGGTAAGTTCTACCTACATCAATATTTTAAATGGTAGACATTTTAACAAATGGTTATGACTGAATGACTGATTCAGAAAATCCTACAAAAAGAACTTTGTGGTAGGCCTAGACAGAACCAAAATGAGTAGCTTGAAAGGGATATACCCTTACCCTCCTAACTAAAATTTCAAATTTTAAAATAATATGTACACAAGACAAACAAACTACTCCCCAGGAGTAGTGATAACAAAAGAGCAAGGAGAGAAAGGGAGAATGATATGCGACAATTGTAATATCAAATAATACTAGCCCACCACAATGTCTGCTGCGAAGCAAGCGATCAACACCTTTCAAGCTAGACATTTCATTTTCTGCTGCTGGGGCAAGCATAATTTAGTACAAAACAATATATGCATCAAAAGTACAGTGAGCCGTTTTAAAACCACCTATTATTTTTTAAATATTTTAAAAAAATAAAAATAATTGTGCTACAATATTCAGCCTTTGTAAGAAAAAAAATCCTGGAGCTGAATACTTCCGGAACTCTGTCTTTCTTTTGTTCAGAAAATAAACTAAAACTAAAGTGAATACTTTTACGAATGGTGGGTATCGCTCAGTGTAGGAGACATTTCGGCACTGCCCGCCAATTTTCCCAGCATTTCATAGCGAGGGACCCGAAACAAGAAAGAAATTATAAACAAGAAGAATTCCAGAAGCTGGGCATTCTCCTCTTTCTTGAAGTACAGATGACCATGGCAAATGAACTGTTTAGTTTTTGGAGTAGAGGTAGATGGCAACAATGAGACCGTACAGACCCAAGACCTCAGCGAAAATGAGGATCAGGATCATACCAACGAAGAGACGAGGTTGTTGGGCAGTTCCTCGCACACCAGCATCACCAACAATACCAATAGCAAAGCCAGCGGCAAGACCACTGAAGCCTACAGCAAGACCTGCCCCCAAATGCAGGAAACCCCTGAAAGAAGACAAATATATGTTTAATAAGAGTTTAATAAAGCTCTAGAATAAGACTGATTGCTCTCAACAGAGAGGGTAACCTTTTAATAGATTTATTGAATTGATGCCAGGTACTTACTTGAATAGTGTGTAATTTGGGGGCTCATTCAGGTTACCCGCAATCAGGACAGCCACCACTAAACCATAGATGGCAATGATACCCGCCATGACAACGGGAATGATACATTTCATAATAAGTTCTGGTCTCATTACCGACATGGCGGCAATACCAGTGCCGGACTTGGCTGTGCCATAAGCAGCTCCTAGGGCTGAAAAAGAAAGGAAAACAATTCATTAACAGTCAAAATATGAAAAGGATTAACAGTTACAATATCTTCAAACTTCTGACACTAAAACTTTGAACTGATCTTTTGAGTGTGAAGGAAGAGCCCATCAATACGCTATCAGCAAACACCTATTGTGAAGATAAGGTTTCAAGTGGCTTCCTGAGGTTGAAGTAGATAAAGGTAGATAGTACAGGGAAGATTGACTACTGACTGTTTACAAACATTTCCCTCCAAAAAATTTACTTTACATAGGGACATGCATGTGATCTGAATGGGGTCACAAGACCAAATCACATGACTAAGGTCTGAAGGGGCAGCCATCTTGGATCAGCTGATGGCCGCTTAGGTTAATATCTATGCAAGATGTAAGTTTCTCAATTAAAACCAAGAGTAGAACTACATAGATAATCGATCAAAAAGTAGAAACTTTGGTCTACATTTAAATATAACATTGCAAGTGAATGGTTACGTGTGCCCATGTCAATTTACAAGGTCTCCAAATATTATGAATTCATCAGAGAATCCCATTCATTCCTTCATTAGGTTTTAAATTCTTAATTCGTTCATTCATAACTAACAATCTGATGAATAGAGAAACAAAATCACATTTTGGTACCGTGTTAAGATGAACCTAACCAAACTCTGGACAACTTTAAATTGCATTTGTATCCATTGTCAGGTGGTTTGGTCTGATTTGATTCAAAAGAGACAAAAAATTTAAGTGGAAAAAATGTGTTTGTGGATCTTTTGCAGTTGCGTGCAAAATCGCAAGTAACCGCATATGGTCATGCCCAGCCAAGGCCCGAGGCCGAAAATCGCCATGTAGTCAAAATTTGTTAGAGGAAAACTGTGGGAATTAGACAGAAAAGGTGAACAGAATGCCGCATTTTTAGTTTGGAAGAGAAAATCACGAGCTGACAAGCGCAGCGCGACAAGGCTGCAACTTGCAACTTCTCAGCCAACGGAGGACTTTGACAGAACTCGTGACTGGCCGAGGTCGTCACAGGTTCCGGGGACCGTGAGAGGCCCTGCTTTTCTCATCGCGGTCTGCTGCCGACCAGAAACTTGAAGCGATCCTGATGGATACGGGCTTATTTAGCGAGGGAAAATAACGGGAATTCGCTTAGAAGATAGGAAGCGCCGTGCTTCACCCCGTGAGGTGGCCATCGGCCACCCTGAAACGAGGTCCCGGGTGGCCCAGAACCCCGATGGCCTGCCCGGTACGGGGTGTGTCACATGCTAAGGCTTCCACCCCCATCATGTGACTAGGCTCAAAGAGACCCCGTTAACACGCTAGGACCCAGTTAGCTGCCCGCAAACACGATTTTGCCACGCAGCTTAGCGAAGATGGGGGGTGGTCCCCCGGGCCAAATCAATAGGCAGGCCAAGCAGTTAAGCCCCTTCCGCTGGGCCCGCGTATGGTCTCCATTCAATATACTTACAACTGAAAATGATAGCAGAGGCGGCTCCCATCACGCCGAAGAAAGGGGAGTAGATTGGTGCCATATCCGCTGCCATTTTAAATTTGTTTGCGGTATTTACACGACCACGGAGACGATGAAAATACTCAACTCGAGTTCACTCTCTCACTAAACTAGACAGCTCACTGTCAAATATGGCCTACTGGCTGAGGGTCATGTGACGGGCAGTGTCGGACTCAGAAGGCAGTGTGTCGCTCGGCGATTGGCTGCGAAGTGAGCTCTTCGGCCCTCTCGGCGAATCGTACGCTCGCTCTCATGTGATGCCGGTGACGTCACGAACAGCCACGGCCCGTCGGCCAGCCACCGCCGACGCCATTTTCTAGCAGAAGACAAGCACCTTTTTAGCGATCTTTACTACTGGAAATCGCGCAAACATATCGTTTACGAGAAATTTTAACAGATTGATGTTAATTTAATCCGATCATCGACTTTTGAGTCGCTGTTATGTGGGATTTACAGCAAGAAAAACGATGAAACGCTGACGCTTAGTCACGGCCCCGTTGACGTACGCTCAATTAAAATGATTGGACTTAATCGCATTGTCAAATTGCTTTAAAGTTCTATTATTAAAACGTTCTTTTCTGTTAAATGTGTTAAGGTAGTGAAACCATTTCTTCGTGTTTTATTAGCAATCGAAGAAAAGCTCAAGGCCCCCGCGAGTCTTTCTTCACTGAGGAAGAAGAAGAAAAGCACCCATGTTGCGGTAAACACAAGTGCCGTCTACACGTGAGACACTTGAAAATAATAGAAATTTACGATGTTTTAAGTATTACTTGTTCTTGAACGTTTTAAAACAACTGTCCTATTCAATAATTTGGTTGTTGACGAGTTGTTGTTGAGGTTATCAACTGTTATTATCAGTTCAACATGAAGTTCGCGTATAAGGTATCGGAGTCTAACCTATATTTCCTTTTTTAAATCTGTGTTATTGTGTTGTTTATCACAGTCAACCTGAATGACTGTATTTCTTTTTATTTTCAGTTTTCCAATCTCTTTGGGTCAGTATACCACCGCGGGAACTTACTTTTTACCCCAGATGGCAACTCTGTTATTAGCCCCGTAGGAAACAGAATTTCAGTTTTTGATTTACGGAAGTGAGTAAATTATTATTGCTGAAATTGATCCATTGGTTTTATGCTCTAGATTTTTGTAGCTGCTTTGCTAACTTAATGCTATTTTTAAAATTATCCTATTTCTTTTCAGCAATAAAACCTCTACTCTCCCAGTTGAAAGCCGATTTAATTTCACTGCTCTTGATCTCTCTCCTGATGGTTGTATACTAATCGCTGTCAATGAAGAAGGAGAGGCACATTTGATAAGTTTGATCAGTGGCACTACTGTTCACAAGTACCGATTCAAGAGGAAAGTGAGATGTATACGCTTCAGTCCAGACGGAAAGCATTTTGCAGCCTGCAAGGAAAACAATGTCTTTGTTTTCAAGTCTCCTGGGCCAGCAACTGGAGAGTTCAACCCGTTTATAATGGAACGTGTTTTTCATGGTGCTTTTGATGATACCACTTGTCTTGACTGGTCAGGTGACTCAAAGTAAGTTATCTTATTCTAAGTAATTGGATTCAACTGCTGTTTTTCTACATTTATGTGATTACATTTGTACATTATGAAATTCAAAATATTAAACGTTTTTAATTTTTTGTAGGATTTTGGCTGTTGGCTCAAAGGACATGTGCACTAAACTCTACTCTTTGGAAAAGTTTGCCAACTTTCGTGGAGTTACTTTGGGAAGCCATTCTGACGCCATAAGAGCTGTATTTTTTGAGAAACAATCTTTGGACCTAATCACTATAGCACGGTATTGTTAAAAATTAGGTTTTAAAAAAATCATTTCCGTGTTTTGTATAGTGTTAGCCTAAATATTCATTTAAATTTTACGTAGAAATGGACATCTCTGCATTTGGGAAAGTAGTATTGAACCATCAGACTTGGAGCCATGGGAACCACTAAAGAAAAAAGTTAAAGAGGCTTCAAACAGTGATAGCGAAGATGACATTCCACAGACTTCGGGTGACAAAACTTCAAAGGAGTCGAAAGGATCAAAAAGTGATGAAGAAATGGAAGTAGATGATGATGGTAAGGAGGCTATAATTTTTCTCTCCACAGGGAAATTATAGTTTAAATTACGTATAAATTAAACCCTTAAAAATAAATAAAATAATCATAATTTACAGGTAATGAACAGATGAAAAAACTTGTCTACAAGAGATTAGCAAGGCACTATTTGAATGATCTCGTGAAAGCTGATAGAAGTGCAACTTTGACTTCAGCTTCATACCATGCTGAGACTCATGTTTTAGTTACTGGATTTTCCTGTGGGTCATTCTTTTTGCATGAGATGCCAAATGTCTCTCTCATTCATTCCCTCAGGTAAGTTTCATTTGACTGTGTTACTGGACAAGAGAAAGAAAAGGCTTGTTAATTAAATTTTCCCAATTTTTTGTTGAAGTATTTCAGACCAAGTTATTGCATCTGTTGCATTGAATGCCCCAGGTGACTGGATTGCCTTGGGTTGTTCTGGTCTTGGCCAATTGCTTGTGTGGGAATGGCAAAGTGAAACCTATGTCATGAAGCAGCAGGGACATGCTAATAACATGACATGCCTAGCCTACTCCTCAGATGGTCAATATGTTGTTACAGGTGGTGGAGATGGAAAGGTAAAATCTCTGCTGAAATATCAGCTCGATGCCTTACAGTAATGATGAAATAAAATTAGCCCTCTCTCATTTTATTTTCAGGTTAAACTTTGGAACACCTCATCTGGGTTTTGTTTTGTTACTTTCCATGAACACACAGCTGCTGTGACAGGTGTTCAGTTCAGTCACAACAGGAAATTTGTGGTCACTTCGTCCCTTGATGGCACTGTACGAGCTTTTGACATGACTCGGTAGGGTGGCTGACTTTTTCAAATTGATTCAGCTGCAGCTAACTATCATAGGCCATAGGCATTAATATTAATGACTGTTTATTTGTTTTTTAAAAGATATCGGAACTTCAGGACATTGACATCTCCTAGGCCTGTTCAGTTCACTTGTGTAGCACTGGATCGAAGTGGAGATTTCATTGCTGCTGGTGGCCAAGACGTTTTTGAGATATATCTTTGGTCTATTAAATTAGGTCGACTGTTAGAGGTATGATTTGTTTTAATTTTTATTCTTTAGGGAATTTTTAATGCTGACTTTAAAATTATATGGAATTATATAATAACCAAATCTTCCTTCAGATCCTCTCTGGCCATGAAGGACCAGTTTCTAGTATTGCATTCAGCCCAAGTCCTACTAGTACTGCTATGGCGTCTGTTAGCTGGGACAAAACATTACGTTTGTGGAATGCAATTGAAAGTGGGTCTGCTCATGACACTGTTTCTTTACCTGCAGATGGTGCGTGAGTAGAATTAAAACTTTTGAGCATAATTAAATTCTAAAAATATCTTAACCCAGCTGTGTTCTCTAATTTTTGTAGGACTTTTTGTAACATATCGTCCTGATGGGGAGGAAGTTGCTGTGGCAACTCTAGATGCTCAGGTTTCTTTCTTTAGTGCTAAAACTGGTGATCAAAAAAGCTGTATTGAAGGTCGAAATGATTTGGGCAGTGGCAGATCTGATACAGATCTTGTAACTGCCAAACAGACTTTGAAGGGAAAGTAAGTTAAATGATCTATTGTCTATCGTAATTACTGTATCTCAATAAATCCAAGCGATTATTTTTAATTTTTTAATTACTTTTTTTTAGAGCTTTCAACAGTCTATGTTATTCTGCCGATGGTGAGAACATTCTAGCTGGCGGGCAATCAAAGAATGTGTGCATTTACAATGTAAAAGAATCAATGTTGGTGAAGAAATTTGAGATAACGCAGAACAGATCATTTGATGCAGTTGATGTTAGTAATCTTACGTATAGTGTGATTATGAGTGTCAAGTTCAAATTAGTCTAAATAAATAGTTTTCATGTGTTCAAACTATCTGTTTTAGGATTTTGTAAACCGACGCAATATGACTGAATTTGGTAATCTAGCTCTTGTTGAAGAACGAGACGAAGATGAGGATGGAAATGTTGCTTTAAAATTACCTGGAGTTAAATCAGGTGATATGGCTGCAAGAAATGTTAAACCAGAAGTTAGAGTTTTTTCCCTTCAATTTTCCCCTACAGGTACAAAAAAATATTCTTGATTTCTTTTGGAGTAAATTTTAACTCCTGTCTATTTAAGTTTTGATAACTTCTCTTCATCTACAGGCCAAGCTTGGTCAGCAGTTACTACTGAAGGGCTTTTAGTGTATTCCCTTGACTTGGGATTGGTTTTTGATCCCTTCATGTTGGAATTGGGTGTCACTCCTGAATCCACAAGAAAAACTCTGAAGGAGTGTGACTATGCAAAAGGTAAATGGTCATTTGAAAGTAATCTGCACTGGCTTTGCTTTATCATATACAATTTACATATTAATTCTTTTAGCTTTTAATTGTTTATTACATTTACTTTTTTAACATTCCATTTTTAGCTTTAATGATGGCAGTAAAAATGAATGAACAAGATCTCATTCAAGAAGTAGTGGAGTCAGTTCCCCCTGAAAGTGGTAAGATAGGAACTAATTTGGCATTCATATAACAATATTTCACAGGAAAATATTTCTCTGTCATGTAAACAATCCCCAATTTTTGTCTTTTTTCAGTGGAATTAACAGTATCTTCAATGCCTCCCACCTACCAAGTTCGGGCATTGAGATTTGTGGCAGGGTCTCTAGAATCTACCCGACATATTGACTTTTATCTTCAGTGGTCAACTTTCCTCCTTAACTCTCTAAGCCCTGGACTACTTCGTGATAGAGGTTCCACAACATACACACAACTTCTGCCTGTGTTATTAACATTGCAGAAAGCTCTAACACGCAAACATGACGAACTAGGAAAAATGTAAGTCCTATATATTCTTATACTCCTATGTTGATTCAGAGGCTATAATTTTTCTCTCCACAGGGAAATTATAGTTTAAATTACGTATAAATTAAACCCTTAAAAATAAATAAAATAATCATAATTTACAGGTAATGAACAGATGAAAAAACTTGTCTACAAGAGATTAGCAAGGCACTATTTGAATGATCTCGTGAAAGCTGATAGAAGTGCAACTTTGACTTCAGCTTCATACCATGCTGAGACTCATGTTTTAGTTACTGGATTTTCCTGTGGGTCATTCTTTTTGCATGAGATGCCAAATGTCTCTCTCATTCATTCCCTCAGGTAAAGTTTCATTTGACTGTGTCACTGGAGAAGAGAAAGAAAAGGCTTGTTAATTAAATTTTCCCAATTTTTTGTTGAAGTATTTCAGACCAAGTTATTGCATCTGTTGCATTGAATGCCCCAGGTGACTGGATTGCCTTGGGTTGTTCTGGTCTTGGCCAATTGCTTGTGTGGGAATGGCAAAGTGAAACCTATGTCATGAAGCAGCAGGGACATGCTAATAACATGACATGCCTAGCCTACTCCTCAGATGGTCAATATGTTGTTACAGGTGGTGGAGATGGAAAGGTAAAATCTCTGCTGAAATATCAGCTCGATGCCTTACAGTAATGATGAAATAAAATTAGCCCTCTCTCATTTTATTTTCAGGTTAAACTTTGGAACACCTCATCTGGGTTTTGTTTTGTTACTTTCCATGAACACACAGCTGCTGTGACAGGTGTTCAGTTCAGTCACAACAGGAAATTTGTGGTCACTTCGTCCCTTGATGGCACTGTACGAGCTTTTGACATGACTCGGTAGGGTGGCTGACTTTTTCAAATTGATTCAGCTGCAGCTAACTATCATAGGCCATAGGCATTAATATTAATGACTGTTTATTTGTTTTTTAAAAGATATCGGAACTTCAGGACATTGACATCTCCTAGGCCTGTTCAGTTCACTTGTGTAGCACTGGATCGAAGTGGAGATTTCATTGCTGCTGGTGGCCAAGACGTTTTTGAGATATATCTTTGGTCTATTAAATTAGGTCGACTGTTAGAGGTATGATTTGTTTTAATTTCTATTCTTTAGGGAATTTGTAATGCTGACTTTAAAATTATATGGAATTATATAATAACCAAATCTTCCTTCAGATCCTCTCTGGCCATGAAGGACCAGTTTCTAGTATTGCATTCAGCCCAAGTCCTACTAGTACTGCTATGGCGTCTGTTAGCTGGGACAAAACATTACGTTTGTGGAATGCAATTGAAAGTGGGTCTGCTCATGACACTGTTTCTTTACCTGCAGATGGTGCGTGAGTAGAATTAAAACTTTTGAGCATAATTAAATTCTAAAAATATCTTAACCCAGCTGTGTTCTCTAATTTTTGTAGGACTTTTTGTAACATATCGTCCTGATGGGGAGGAAGTTGCTGTGGCAACTCTAGATGCTCAGGTTTCTTTCTTTAGTGCTAAAACTGGTGATCAAAAAAGCTGTATTGAAGGTCGAAATGATTTGGGCAGTGGCAGATCTGATACAGATCTTGTAACTGCCAAACAGACTTTGAAGGGAAAGTAAGTTAAATGATCTATTGTCTATCGTAATTACTGTATCTCAATAAATCCAAGCGATTATTTCTAATTTTTTAATTACTTTTTTTTAGAGCTTTCAACAGTCTATGTTATTCTGCCGATGGTGAGAACATTCTAGCTGGCGGGCAATCAAAGAATGTGTGCATTTACAATGTAAAAGAATCAATGTTGGTGAAGAAATTTGAGATAACGCAGTAAGGTAGTGAAACCATTTCTTCGTGTTTTATTAGCAATCGAAGAAAAGCTCAAGGCCCCCGCGAGTCTTTCTTCACTGAGGAAGAAGAAGAAAAGCACCCATGTTGCGGTAAACACAAGTGCCGTCTACACGTGAGACACTTGAAAATAATAGAAATTTACGATGTTTTAAGTATTACTTGTTCTTGAACGTTTTAAAACAACTGTCCTATTCAATAATTTGGTTGTTGACGAGTTGTTGTTGAGGTTATCAACTGTTATTATCAGTTCAACATGAAGTTCGCGTATAAGGTATCGGAGTCTAACCTATATTTCCTTTTTTAAATCTGTGTTATTGTGTTGTTTATCACAGTCAACCTGAATGACTGTATTTCTTTTTATTTTCAGTTTTCCAATCTCTTTGGGTCAGTATACCACCGCGGGAACTTACTTTTTACCCCAGATGGCAACTCTGTTATTAGCCCCGTAGGAAACAGAATTTCAGTTTTTGATTTACGGAAGTGAGTAAATTATTATTGCTGAAATTGATCCATTGGTTTTATGCTCTAGATTTTTGTAGCTGCTTTGCTAACTTAATGCTATTTTTAAAATTATCCTATTTCTTTTCAGCAATAAAACCTCTACTCTCCCAGTTGAAAGCCGATTTAATTTCACTGCTCTTGATCTCTCTCCTGATGGTTGTATACTAATCGCTGTCAATGAAGAAGGAGAGGCACATTTGATAAGTTTGATCAGTGGCACTACTGTTCACAAGTACCGATTCAAGAGGAAAGTGAGATGTATACGCTTCAGTCCAGACGGAAAGCATTTTGCAGCCTGCAAGGAAAACAATGTCTTTGTTTTCAAGTCTCCTGGGCCAGCAACTGGAGAGTTCAACCCGTTTATAATGGAACGTGTTTTTCATGGTGCTTTTGATGATACCACTTGTCTTGACTGGTCAGGTGACTCAAAGTAAGTTATCTTATTCTAAGTAATTGGATTCAACTGCTGTTTTTCTACATTTATGTGATTACATTTGTACATTATGAAATTCAAAATATTAAACGTTTTTAATTTTTTGTAGGATTTTGGCTGTTGGCTCAAAGGACATGTGCACTAAACTCTACTCTTTGGAAAAGTTTGCCAACTTTCGTGGAGTTACTTTGGGAAGCCATTCTGACGCCATAAGAGCTGTATTTTTTGAGAAACAATCTTTGGACCTAATCACTATAGCACGGTATTGTTAAAAATTAGGTTTTAAAAAAATCATTTCCGTGTTTTGTATAGTGTTAGCCTAAATATTCATTTAAATTTTACGTAGAAATGGACATCTCTGCATTTGGGAAAGTAGTATTGAACCATCAGACTTGGAGCCATGGGAACCACTAAAGAAAAAAGTTAAAGAGGCTTCAAACAGTGATAGCGAAGATGACATTCCACAGACTTCGGGTGACAAAACTTCAAAGGAGTCGAAAGGATCAAAAAGTGATGAAGAAATGGAAGTAGATGATGATGGTAAGGAGGCTATAATTTTTCTCTCCACAGGGAAATTATAGTTTAAATTACGTATAAATTAAACCCTTAAAAATAAATAAAATAATCATAATTTACAGGTAATGAACAGATGAAAAAACTTGTCTACAAGAGATTAGCAAGGCACTATTTGAATGATCTCGTGAAAGCTGATAGAAGTGCAACTTTGACTTCAGCTTCATACCATGCTGAGACTCATGTTTTAGTTACTGGATTTTCCTGTGGGTCATTCTTTTTGCATGAGATGCCAAATGTCTCTCTCATTCATTCCCTCAGGTAAGTTTCATTTGACTGTGTTACTGGACAAGAGAAAGAAAAGGCTTGTTAATTAAATTTTCCCAATTTTTTGTTGAAGTATTTCAGACCAAGTTATTGCATCTGTTGCATTGAATGCCCCAGGTGACTGGATTGCCTTGGGTTGTTCTGGTCTTGGCCAATTGCTTGTGTGGGAATGGCAAAGTGAAACCTATGTCATGAAGCAGCAGGGACATGCTAATAACATGACATGCCTAGCCTACTCCTCAGATGGTCAATATGTTGTTACAGGTGGTGGAGATGGAAAGGTAAAATCTCTGCTGAAATATCAGCTCGATGCCTTACAGTAATGATGAAATAAAATTAGCCCTCTCTCATTTTATTTTCAGGTTAAACTTTGGAACACCTCATCTGGGTTTTGTTTTGTTACTTTCCATGAACACACAGCTGCTGTGACAGGTGTTCAGTTCAGTCACAACAGGAAATTTGTGGTCACTTCGTCCCTTGATGGCACTGTACGAGCTTTTGACATGACTCGGTAGGGTGGCTGACTTTTTCAAATTGATTCAGCTGCAGCTAACTATCATAGGCCATAGGCATTAATATTAATGACTGTTTATTTGTTTTTTAAAAGATATCGGAACTTCAGGACATTGACATCTCCTAGGCCTGTTCAGTTCACTTGTGTAGCACTGGATCGAAGTGGAGATTTCATTGCTGCTGGTGGCCAAGACGTTTTTGAGATATATCTTTGGTCTATTAAATTAGGTCGACTGTTAGAGGTATGATTTGTTTTAATTTTTATTCTTTAGGGAATTTTTAATGCTGACTTTAAAATTATATGGAATTATATAATAACCAAATCTTCCTTCAGATCCTCTCTGGCCATGAAGGACCAGTTTCTAGTATTGCATTCAGCCCAAGTCCTACTAGTACTGCTATGGCGTCTGTTAGCTGGGACAAAACATTACGTTTGTGGAATGCAATTGAAAGTGGGTCTGCTCATGACACTGTTTCTTTACCTGCAGATGGTGCGTGAGTAGAATTAAAACTTTTGAGCATAATTAAATTCTAAAAATATCTTAACCCAGCTGTGTTCTCTAATTTTTGTAGGACTTTTTGTAACATATCGTCCTGATGGGGAGGAAGTTGCTGTGGCAACTCTAGATGCTCAGGTTTCTTTCTTTAGTGCTAAAACTGGTGATCAAAAAAGCTGTATTGAAGGTCGAAATGATTTGGGCAGTGGCAGATCTGATACAGATCTTGTAACTGCCAAACAGACTTTGAAGGGAAAGTAAGTTAAATGATCTATTGTCTATCGTAATTACTGTATCTCAATAAATCCAAGCGATTATTTTTAATTTTTTAATTACTTTTTTTTAGAGCTTTCAACAGTCTATGTTATTCTGCCGATGGTGAGAACATTCTAGCTGGCGGGCAATCAAAGAATGTGTGCATTTACAATGTAAAAGAATCAATGTTGGTGAAGAAATTTGAGATAACGCAGAACAGATCATTTGATGCAGTTGATGTTAGTAATCTTACGTATAGTGTGATTATGAGTGTCAAGTTCAAATTAGTCTAAATAAATAGTTTTCATGTGTTCAAACTATCTGTTTTAGGATTTTGTAAACCGACGCAATATGACTGAATTTGGTAATCTAGCTCTTGTTGAAGAACGAGACGAAGATGAGGATGGAAATGTTGCTTTAAAATTACCTGGAGTTAAATCAGGTGATATGGCTGCAAGAAATGTTAAACCAGAAGTTAGAGTTTTTTCCCTTCAATTTTCCCCTACAGGTACAAAAAAATATTCTTGATTTCTTTTGGAGTAAATTTTAACTCCTGTCTATTTAAGTTTTGATAACTTCTCTTCATCTACAGGCCAAGCTTGGTCAGCAGTTACTACTGAAGGGCTTTTAGTGTATTCCCTTGACTTGGGATTGGTTTTTGATCCCTTCATGTTGGAATTGGGTGTCACTCCTGAATCCACAAGAAAAACTCTGAAGGAGTGTGACTATGCAAAAGGTAAATGGTCATTTGAAAGTAATCTGCACTGGCTTTGCTTTATCATATACAATTTACATATTAATTCTTTTAGCTTTTAATTGTTTATTACATTTACTTTTTTAACATTCCATTTTTAGCTTTAATGATGGCAGTAAAAATGAATGAACAAGATCTCATTCAAGAAGTAGTGGAGTCAGTTCCCCCTGAAAGTGGTAAGATAGGAACTAATTTGGCATTCATATAACAATATTTCACAGGAAAATATTTCTCTGTCATGTAAACAATCCCCAATTTTTGTCTTTTTTCAGTGGAATTAACAGTATCTTCAATGCCTCCCACCTACCAAGTTCGGGCATTGAGATTTGTGGCAGGGTCTCTAGAATCTACCCGACATATTGACTTTTATCTTCAGTGGTCAACTTTCCTCCTTAACTCTCTAAGCCCTGGACTACTTCGTGATAGAGGTTCCACAACATACACACAACTTCTGCCTGTGTTATTAACATTGCAGAAAGCTCTAACACGCAAACATGACGAACTAGGAAAAATGTAAGTCCTATATATTCTTATACTCCTATGTTGATTCAATCTCTGCCGTTGTTCTAATAATTTGACAATTTTAATTTTTTAGTTGCGATTTCAACAAGTACACACTACGTTACCTTCAAAAGTTAGGGGAACTCAGAAAAAATAGCAGTTCTGCTGTACAAGTCAATTCCGAGGGAGAGGAAGATAACGAATCTAGTGATATAAGTGATGAAGAACTGATGTTAATGGGATAAGGAAAATCTTGTTTATATCGTAATTATACAATAATTATGACAGAAGGTTGCTTTATCATTGCTTGTCATTCTGTCTGAAACCTTCACCCTGTTTTCAAAAAAAAAAAAAATTCATCTAAAAGCTAACATTATTTTCAAAAGTAACCAGTTTTGCAGTTTTGTGGAAGAGATCGACAAATCAGTTTAGAGAGCGGCTTACATATTCTCACTGCTCAATTTGTCATTCAAAAATATAAGAAACTGCATGTCTCTAAGATGGTTGGTCTGCAACACTTCTCACCTTGCGGGAGATATAGTGTCCTGCTAGTGCTCGCCCTGCCAACTAAAGCTTGAATGAAATTTTTAAGTCACGTGCAGTGCTCTCACTTGCCGTAAGCCTTGAGCAGGAGTATTGGCCAGTAACACATGATGAACATGATGAAGAGTGCGGGGAAGATCAGGCGCGACATGCGGTCTATCCGCCTCCACAGCTGTGTCTGCTCGGGCCCCAGGCCGCCTCCCGCGAACCTGTCGATCCAGACGGGAACGGCGTTGCCGCCAGTGGGGGCGGGTCGCGGGGGCGGCAGCAGCAAGACGTGCGGCGGGCTGTCGGGCGAGCCGGAGCCCGGGGAGCCCGGGGCCGAGCCGGGGCAGCTGACGGCCACCTTGCGCCACCGGGCGCCCACCCCGGAGATGCTGCCGGAGCCCGTGATCTCCCACGCCTGTGAGTACGGATCGCCATTCTCCGCGGCTGAGATGCACTGCAAAAAAAAAAAAAAAAAAAGGTTCGCCTGATTTAGTTGCATGGGTTGTGTCGTGCATAGGAGCCGGTGCGCACTGACCAGGGGGTGCGAGCCTCTGTGCTCGCGCTGCTCCCGCTGGTGCTGGACGTCCAGCACCTTGACGACGACGAACTCGACGAGCGCGGCGAACACGAACAGCATGCACGCCGCCATCCATACGTCCAGCGCCTGTAACCCACGTATTCGGCTTGTGCTCAGCGGATGGTGACTTGACGGGTACTGAGTTATTATTGTTCAACGCACGCCTTGCACGCACCTTGACGTACGCCACGGGGGGTATGTCCTTGAGCCCGGTGAACATGGTGACGAGCGTGAGCATGCACGTGACCAGGAGGGTGACCCTCCCCGGGATGGCGTCGAGGCCGAGCCAGAAGCCGCACCAGCTGAGGAGCACGACGAGGGACGAGGGCGCAAACGTCTGGATCAGGTGGTGGCCGATCTGCCGCTCAAACCGGAAGTAGGCGATCAGGCGGGAAAAGTTGCCTGCAGCACCGTAGACGAAACTGAGCCTCCGACTTAGCGCGCGGTAAGTACCTTCTCGACAAGACGTAATGTGCCCTTAACTCACCGTCCTTTTCCATGCGGTAGCCGCTCATCTCCCTGAGCTCCAGGGGTGTGCCCACGTTGTACTGCAGCAGCTTGAGAGCGGGGTTGACCGAGACGCCGTCCTCACCCCATCGCAACCGCAGCTTGTGGTCGTTGTAGGAGACTGTATGAAGAGAAGGGTATACGCGCCCACCAGATTAGAGCCAGAAAGAAATATTTTCGTCTTTCTGATAAGCGGTAGAATTTTTGTTTGTGATTGATAATCACCATTTGATATTTAAAAAGATTATTTTTTTTGTCGGGAATGGACACTCACTTTGCCAGTCGCTAATGGCCATATCAGACCCAACACCCAACATGACACCATGACCGCTGCGCTGCGACTCTGCGACTCGAAGGGAGCGCCCGACCAACTTAGGGTAGGCCGCCCGGTGAGGAGCACTGCGGGCGCGTTGCCTACCCGCCCGGCGCCCTGAGACCGAGGCAGCACGGCCAGCACACTCAGTTACCCAGCTACCTACCTCTTTTAGAGCTCTCACTAGGTGCTCTCTCTCAGAGCTCTCCATAATAGCTCTACCTCGGAACTCCCACTAGCCCTAGGTGCTCTCCCCGAACATGTGTGGTGGGTAGGCCGCCCAATACGGATAGCGATGCGGCCGCCTTGCCTGGCGTTTGCCTACACCGGCCCGGAGGCCTCGCGACTCACAGCTCTCGATGTACACGGGGCACAGCTGGATGTCCATCGGGTAGAGCTGGAACTCCATCTGGCAGGCCACGATGGCGTGCATGCGCGCCGAGTAGCGCACCGTCCTGTTGCGGTACAGCGTCACGGAGGAGAACTGGTGCGTGAGCATGGCGATCTCTGGGGGAGGGAGAGAGCGAGAGCGGTGAAAGAGGCCACGAAACTTTTGGTGGTCCCCGAGGAGGGTGTTATTTGCGTTTACCCGACACTTTTGAGTTGATGATGTATGGGTCCGGCTGCCACAGCTTGTCGAAGAACTCGGGGGGTAAGGTCACGTAGTCTTCGCCGTCCTCGAAAATGGCGTCCGGCATGTGGAGACGGGGCTCCGTCCACTGCTGCCGCACGAACATGTCCACGCTGCAATAATGGCAAACAGTGAAGAGGACCGAGTGCGTTTCGCCTGGTTCTGCCCGTTCTGCCCTACTGCAATAACGAACGAGCTCATAGTACAGCAATTCTTACCGGAAATCCATGTCTTCGACGTTGATGGAGTTGATGTCAACGATATGTATATCGAAGAATAAATGTACGGGCTGCCCTGTGGTGGCAGGAGGCTGGATCTCTGATGACAACCAAGGGAAAGGGGGTGTTAAAGACACTCTTATTCTTCTTTCCACCCCATAAACGTTACTTTAAACTTTCATGCATCTCTGTAGGGCTAACACACGCTTACCTTTCACGTAGTGATCGGGAAGGACAACCTCTGGGCGAATCGAATAGTTTTTCTTACTGTCGGTCTCGACAATCCTATTTCAAAAAAAAAAATTACCGTGAGTAAGCTGCTGCAATATCAATCTGTTTCACTCATCCCTGTGCGGGACAACCCACCACAGGGATAGGGTGACGAACGGCAGCCATGCGAACACCATGATGTCCTTGATGGCCACCCACATCGGAACCCGCGGCGCTGGTGACACGAGAGAGGGGTGGAATGTCACGCCACAACAGTCACTAGAAATGTTTGAAGGCTCTTGGAGTACAATAGGACTTCATATGATGCTTTATGACAAACATGTTTTTTTTTTTCAGATGGGCCGGCGGTCAAACGCCGTTTTGTTACGGTGGTCGCGGTGGTCGCCCAGCCCCGTTGAGCAACGCCCGGATGCAGGCATGCGGGCAGGCTTGCCTATCGTCACCGACTACGGAGCTTTAGGTGTCATCCATAAAGTACGTCCTTCCTTTTCGAACCTGTCAAGTTGAGCCGCTGCAGGCTGTCATAGCGCCTTGTCGGTAGGCAATATCTTGCCTGCGTTTCACGCGTGTACTGCGGAGTGGCCTACCCCGAATCTCGCAGGCGCTGAGCTCCCGCAAGTGGCCCGAATGGATCTGAGAAAAACGGACGTACTTTGTGGGCGATCTCTTAGACGACTCCGCGCCCGCAGGCAACACGCCCGCGGGTATACCACCCACCTGTTCAAACGGGGCTGGGCGACCAACCTGGGCAGGAATGCGGGAGAATCACCCACTTGCACGCACGGGGACAGTGGTCTACGGCGCGTGGAAGGCGAGCCCACCTGCACCCCGGCGGCAGGCGGCTCGGTTCACCTGGCGTCAGCACGGTTAGTACCTGCGGAGAGTGCTGCGTCGCAGCCTCACGCCGAGGCCTTATGGGCACGCCTCTGGTCTGTCAGGTAGGGCGGCTACCGGGTCCTGGAAGTCCTGGAAACAGCAACGGCAAATCACCGGTCCTCATAAACGAAAGGGTATTCAAGGACCCAAAACAGTGAATAAACAGGGCTTCGCATTTATACTGGCCTGGGGGAGGGTGTGTGTTGCAAGACGGACAGCGAAAAGGGGGTGGGGGGGAGTGAAGGGTCAGGCCCGGGGGACCTCGTTACCAGCCGGGGCCGGGCCGGGCCGGGCCGGGCGCCCCCAGCAGCAGCACGCGGAGCCCAGCGGAGCACGCGCCGTGGTCATGGCGCCGGCGGCCTGACGCTGACGGCGGCCCCTCGCAGCTGCTGCAGTGGTTGTCAGGCCGCCGAGTCCTTGACAGGCTCCCGCCAAAAAATGCACAGTCGAGGCCCACACTTCCGGCCACCGGCAAACTTACCGAGGCTGCTCGCGAAGATCTGCTCTTCCCCCCTGCGCGGCCAACTGCGATCTGGCTGCTGTTCGCCGTCAGCGCCGCCCCGATCGCCGTCACAACAGGTGGGACAGGAGGGCAGGCCAGAGGGCAGCGGCGCGCTGGGGTGGCTGGAGGTGGCGCGATGCCGCGGACAGCGCGGGTGTGTGTGCGCTCGACCCGCAGAGGGCAACGAGGGCGTTGAGGTCTTCTCCTAGACTGCTAGGGTCACTGGGTCTGCCTGTGCCCCGAGCAAAGTGAATGTCGGAGCACCGCGGGGCTGTTGGCGGCGAACCGCACCCTTCTCTTCTCTCCGGCCTGGCCGGCCTGGGCGGTGGTGGTGATCAGGATCAGCTCCGCAGCAGTAGCTCGGCCCCACTCGGCCGCGATCGGATCGAGTGCCGCGGCGGCGGCGCGGCTTGGAGTGGCTTGGATGTCCGAGCCGCCCTCCCTCTGTCCGCCCCCTCCCCTCCCCCCTCTTCCTCGTTCTCTGATTCTCTTTACTCTTCCTTTCCGGCTGTAACCCGTTCGCCCCTGTCCTGTCCAGTCGGTGTGAGGGGGGCTCGCGAGTCAGGCGAAGGTCGACTCACAACCAGCCCTCAAGAGCCGCCTGGAAGGTAGGCAATACGCACTGCAAGCGCACTGTATGGAGGCAACCCACAGCACAGTGCACTGCCCCTGCCTTCAGTTGGACTCGAAACGGGGCGCATGTCTTAACAGATCTGAGAGGGGACAGAAAGGGGCGGCTCCGGGGAGAGGAGGTTTTATTTTGTCGTAAGTGTGGCATAATGAGCACCACCCCAGCCCCCGCCCGCGTCCACACATGAACTCCTGATGCCCGGCCAAGTGGCGTGGCGGGGGCAGTCAGTGCAAACCATTGTGTTGACGGCGAGCAAACAGGCTGGTCGTCATTAACACTGGGTGGTGGTCAGTGACGCAAACGAATGCACAGTCGGTACGGGCTGTGCTGGTGCGCAATATGGCAAAACAAATGTGTATGGCAGTATTGTCGCACTGTCACGACGTGTTATTGTGTTTCCCAACTATCGCATGCCTGTGCGCTGCGCAAGGCACTCCACCCCGTCCTCCCCCAACTCTCTTCATCTTAAAGGTGGATAAATGTGTGTTAGTTGGTAATGGAGGTGCACTGTACTCTCTCTCTCTCTCTCACACACACACACACACTCACACCACAGACATGCACAAAATAACAACAACACATAAATTTTAATTTAGAATTTATTAACACAAATTTACTAACCACTCTACAACTTTGGTACAAATAGCTTCCATATTAGGAGTCCAGCCCACAGGATTTCTCTCTTTGGTCAATTTCTGTTTCATGGTGAATTAAATTTCCTTTAAATTAGAAAAAGAATAATACTATAAACAAACGCTAAGTCTTTTTTTCACTTAACTGTCTACTGACCAAATCAAAGTGATGCTTTAATTATCAAATGGCGCTGGTCCTATACCAACTCTTTCAAGTAATGAGTTTTAACTTGATAATAAATTAAGAGTAGGTCTCACATCAATAACATCACAGGTAGGTTCGATTGGAAAACAGTTGATCACACTTGATTGGTATGATGTGCATAAGAAAAAAAGCACAAACGAGTGGAACTAAAATTATACACAAGAAACATACAAGAAATATTTACCAAAGAGCTGTGTGACTAGGACCCCTAATCTGGTTGACTTTCTGGAAGCTTAAAACGACACTTTACATTCCTTTGTGCCTCATACAGCATTTTGATGAAATTGCTAACAGCATATTGAACGCTTCCCATTAAGCTAATGAAACATCACAGTCCCACAGATAAACTTACATGGAGATAAAAAAGGAAGCCTTCTGCTAGCTCAGCTGTTAACTAAACACTGTACCTTGACTGAAGCGCTCAAGTTTGAAATGAGGAGGCAAGTGGTCTTACTCACTTCAAACTGTAGGTAAAATTTACCCAGAAGTGTCCATAGCAGAAAAGGGAAGTCAGTATAACACCAGATGAAAGGGGTTGAGATCTCTACTTGACTTAAGACAACAAACTCCACAAATCATTCTTCATGTATTCAGGCATTCAGAGAGATTTCACCCCTTTCTCTTTTTTCATCAATTCCATGAAACTCATAAAAATTCAGAGAGCTTCAAACATGATACCAACATTTCTTACAGAAATGTATGACATTTGTGTAGCAGTCAACCTCCCAGTTCAATTTTATGTTCCATTTCCTTGAAGCCTTGAGCAATTCCATCTTACAACAGTGAGGGCACAGCTCATGCTCACTTAATCCATATTGTACCATAAGACAGAAAAAAAGTATGTATTTGTGAGAAGTATACTCACAAAATTCTACCAACTGTAATGTTTAATAAATAATTTTGAAAATTCATCATTCTGTTATGCACTCAATTGATTTCCTGACTTCTAGATAGAGACTCTTTTGTTGATTTCCTTCTCTGACAAGGTCACTTTTTCCTGTGTAGGCATCACTGCCCCTCATCAAATAGAGCAAATCCAATTCCATCTCTGCGTCTTCATCCTGACATTCATTTAACTCAAAAAAGTAAAATGACATACATAATATAATACATAGATAGCTAAGTTATTTAAACATAACTTGCACTTATGACTAAACTTAAAATTACATTTAATTTAAAAAGTTTTCAAAGCAATCCAAGCAAAGTTTAAGTGTAAACTTGTTGTATTACTTGAATACAAATGCACTGTTGAGAATAAAATACTTTGTACATTAAAAGAGACTATGTATTAAGTAAAGAGAAGTTTGACACTGAAAAATGCAGCACTGGGGACTTACTTAAAGCATATCAAGAATGCAATTTCAGATCCAAAATGATAGAAGCGTGTATAATCTAAAGTATGAGCCCTCTGGGCGTATGAATTACGCTACAAAATTTAATGGATAATATGGAGCTGCTCCATAGGGTAAGGACACACAGAAAATGCAAATACATGACATAAACCCATAGAAACAAAGATAAATTGATTGAATATGATTAAGTTGATTAAGTTTTGCTAAGCCAAGGACTACATAGTTTCAAATATTGACTACAAAAAGAAACTTACAGAGTAACTTGGCGAAATTTTCACATTATAATGTAGATATTTCATAAAATGCTGCATTATAATTAGTTTTTTTTAAAACTGCAGATATGAGCGAGTAGAATATCATCTGCAATTCAAGATAGCTAACAAGCCTAAAATCCGTCATTCTGGTGCTGGGCTGACCCAATTTGAGTATCTATTTCATGTAAGTTAATGAGAATTCTAGGTACTCATCTTAGATTTTGGCAATTTATGAGTCTTAATTTCAAAGTGGCTTCCCCTATCTCAATTCATTTTACTTCTATGGAAGAAGAAATATCAATCAGTTCTACTTTGTAGAGCTTATTTAATTTCAAGAGACTGTGTTCTGCACATTAATGTGCAACCAAAGGGGAAACTTTGCTACTTTCGTCTTTCTCACCACTTAGCACCATGCCAATTAAAAAACCCAGCACATTCTATCACAGTGAGGAGTACTGGTCTTTCATTCAATTGGCCACTCAGCACATGAACGTTACAACATTGCACTGGCTCCCTTATGATAAAGAGATACTCAGTTCACTCTTGCCAGACACGATTAGGTTAAAATAAAACACAATACAAGAGAGAACAAAAAGAAATAAGGGTGAAAACCAAACATCTTTAAGTGAGAAGATACTTTGCAGTCTAACATTTCTTTGGAGTTGAAAGTTAATAAAATGCAAAGTTCAGTCATCGCCCGGAATGCTACGAGAAGAGATTTCTTTCCAATCGCTGTTTCTGTGATAAGTACGGACGCATATTTATCACTTGGCAGTGACATAGTTGCCCCATGCCAGTCTCATACTTCTCCGTAGTAAGGGACTAACCATTACAAGTGTCAATTTAGAGCTACCATTAATCCACACATAATTAATAACAATTATAAATTAAATGAAACCACTGGGAGACTGCCGATCAGCAAATACTACATACAACAATCAGAAATAAAATGTTAAAAAAATTTAAATAGTAACTTAATTCAGGACAAAATATCACATGTCACATGTTGAGCTTTGCTTGAAACCAAACACACACAGTGTGCCCAAAAGGGATAAAAAAATGATAGGTATTTGAAAGAGGAAGTGACATAAAGACCTTTCAAGCCTCACAGAAATTAACACATTTAGATGAAACATATCAGGATTAATAGTTGGGTAAATACACTTGTCAGATCAGCTTAAGAATTATGCTTGTAATTCTCATACAAGCTCTTTCAAACTCTCAGCTGTGATACTAGAGCCAGTATAAGGTGCCTCCGATTGCAACAATTAATTGTAATGTTTCTCACACTAAAGACCAGACATGGTACACATAAGAATCTGCACAGCACCAAGAAAGCAAAAGAGCTCTTTTCATTCTGATCTGGCGGCACTAGCAGTTGACTCGACTGAACATGCTGCCTTTGCCCTGATCCTTTCTTCATGCCTAGAATCTACAGCTAGAGCTACCTTGATAATTATAATCCCTAAAAAACGAGCAGTATTAATCCTGATCCACTCCTCCAAACGCATCAATCTATTTTTGGGGGCTATTACAAATGATGTCAGGCACAGCTCTCATATATAACAGATACACACCATTTTCCAATGCTGCAAAGACTCAATACACACCACAATGCAAGAATTGCAGCAGCAACGATAGAGGCAGTGGGATAATTTCCCCAAACCGTAAGAATTTTTTCTTGAAAAAGAAGTTAATCAATAATGACTAGTATTGTAGAACCGGGTGAATAGTTACAATTAGACCATAGAACATGACATCATTTGCTACTAGTCCCTCACTGCTAGAGATTAATTTACCCGCACAAATATTATGTTTAATGGACACACTGCATTATGAGTATATTGTACATAGCATAGTATATGAATATGTATAATAAATTTGGCATGTGACTTGACTGCAGGAAGTATTTTTATCACTCCTGCAAAGTTCAATGTACATCAATTTACACATGCACATTTGTGTTCGTATTGTAGCACGTATACACACCAAAAGTCAATAAACAATGAAACTTCAAATAAAAACAAACAATATAAACAAAAAAGCAGCGTGAGGATGAAATTTAACACAAAAGATTCCTACTGACTAATCAAGATAATATTAATATCATACTGGGTATACCTATCAAAAAGATCTCAGCCATGATTTCAGAGCGAATCTTTGCACACTTTTCAATGATTACAAAATGATTCAAGCATCCTTCCCCAACAAGAAGTTTTGAAACTGATTAAATGATACATAGAAGAAAGCTAAAGCTATGGAAAGATTTTCTGAGTAGGCATTGGTTGTTTAAGCTGCTTAGTTAAACATGTAACACAATACTGAGAATCAGAAAGAATTTCATGATGCATGATGAAAAATGAAGAATCAGTCCATAAAGGTATAGGGGGAAAGGCTTTACTTTTTGTTCCTAATGGAACAAAAGTAGAAATGTTTTGATTGTAAACACTGAAAGAGTAATATTATCCCCAGCTATGAGTTGATGGTCTAGTGATGTAAAGGCGATGATTACGCCTACTATGTATGGCACACTTTTGCCGTACCAGTTTGGTACGGGGCATATGAAAATTCAGAGATTACACTGCCACAGTATCGTAGGCTGTGAGTCCGTTTTGGTGGTGTTGTTGGTGGGGGCCGGCTTCGTTTCTGAAACAATAAAGATTAAAATAAAAATAGGAAATCAAATGAACCTATTCCAATAGTATTGATTGAACATGACAGTTGCTTTCCCTTCTCCCCAAAAAATAAATACAGTACTTCAAAAGAGAAATGAAGTGACTCCACTGTTATGGATCTTTTTTTAAAAGTTTAGATCAAACCAGATCAAACTCTACTAAAGGTTTCAACTATTTTATGTTAATTGATCTGAGATATTTGACATGCCATGCAGAATCTGTGCAAAATGTGCCAAAACTCAATTCCATAAATTAAAAAAAAAAAAAACAACAAAAAACTGTTATGGATTTAAAAAATAATAATTCACACACACAGTCTAAATTGATGTATAGTGAGATGTTAACTATTACATCAGTTAGATCAGTTTACGTACACTTTACAGTTGAATCTGGAATTTCACAATTATTTTGTCAGCTATTAAGAATAATAAGCATAAACATTATCTGAAGCAGACACTAAAGTCGATTGAACTCTTTACCATACATCATTGGAAAGGGGCATGCAAAACAAGGGCAATATATGTTGTCACAAAGATAATTAGTATACAATGTCATTTAACAGATAAATTTTGCTCAAAGAGGGATTAGCGAGTGACCAAAGGAATTGTGAAACACATGCAGTATTATTTTACAGCTTTCAAAATTTGACAGAAGTTATTTAAGAATCAGACAAAAGCTGAAAACCCAAAGTTGTTCTGTATAGGTGAATCACTGAACAATGCTCTATTGGGCAAGGTAAGCCTGTTATGCATATTATGAACTGATTGATGTACAC